CTGAATCACCAGGGCGGTCTGCGCTCGCGCCCTCTGGACAGACTGGCGTATCAGATCCTCCTGTGGTCCCAGCAGAGGTTACTATCGCTCAGGGCGATGTATCTCCCGGGGACGCAGAATCAGGGAGCAGACCTGCTGTCGAGGCAGGGGCTGAGGCCCGGGGAATGGAGACTTCCCCCCCGAAGTGGTGGAGCTCTTGTGCGAAGAGTTCAGCCCCATAGACGTGGATCTGTTTGCGTCTCAAGAGACTACGCACTGCCCGCTATGGTTTCTCTCGTTCCTCCAGCCCCGTTGGGTCTGGACGCCATGGTACATTCGTGGCCGAGGCTACGTCTGTACGCTTTTCCCCCAGTCGCTCTGCTCCCGGGGTTCTGGAGCAGGTTCGCCAGGACAATGTCGGCCTACTGCTCGTAGCCCCGTTCTGGCCAACCCGGGTGTGGTTCTCGGACATCATGTCGCTCCTGGACGGCCCGCCGTGGCGGGTCCCTCTGAGGAGAGACCTGCTGTCCCAGGCGCAGGGCCGGGTTCTTCACCCTTGCCCCGCCATATGGCGACTGTGGGTCTGGCCCCTGAGGGGGCACAGTACCTAGAGGCGGGTCTAACAGCCGGAGCAGTCGAGACCCTCCTGAGCTCCAGGGCCCCGTCCACACGGAGGATGTACGGCCTGAAGTGGAGTGTTTTCTCCACTTGGTGTAGGGAGCGGTCGGTGGACCCTGTTACCTGCCCGGTGGTTCAGGTACTTGAGTTCCTCCAGGACCGGTTCTCTGCTGGTCTGCCGGCAGCTATTTTCCACACCTCTCTGAGGGAGAGGTCCTTGGGGAAACTTCCCTTGGTTGTACGTTTCCTCCGTGGTGCCCGGAGGATGAGACCTGCGACTCGGTCCAAGGTTCCCACTTGGGATCTGGCAGTGGTTCTTGGGGCGGTGGCTGAGGCCCCCTTCAAACCCCTGGAGTCAGCTGAGGCTAAGCACTTGACCCTCAAGATGGCCTTTCTCCTTGCTATCACCTCTCTGAGGAGGGTGGGGGATCTCCAAGCGCTTTCGGTTTCCCCGCAAAGCCTGGAGTTTGCCCCGGGGAATATTAGGGCTATCCTGCACCCTTGTTCAGGATACATCCCTAAAGTGCCTTCTTGTGCGGCAGGGTCCACAGTGCTGCAGGCATTTCATCCTCCACCTCATGTGACGGCGGAGGACGGGAGACTTCATCTGCTCTGCCCTGTCAGAGCACTGAGTATTTACACTCTGAGGTCCTCCCGTTGGAGGAAGGCTGACCAGCTGCTAGTGTGTTTTGGGTCTCCCAGGGCCGGGCTCCCTGCATCCAAACTTACTATTAGCAACTGGATTGTTCAGACTATTCCCTGGCCTATCAGGTGCGCGGTTTGCCTTCACCTGTGGCTGTGAGGGCTCATTCTACCAGAGGCATGGCGGCCTCTCGACCCCTCCTTTCCGGGGCCTCTTTGCAGGATGTTTGTTTAGCGGCTGGCTGGGCCACTCCGCACACATTCATTCGGTTTTACAGTCTTGACCTTCCTTCGGCACCTGGCACTCGTGCGCTCTCCTCTTAGTCGTGCCACTTTATTGCACACAGGGGCAGGCGGGGTTTTCGGCACGGTTTAGTGGGTATCTCGTTCCCATAGTGTCGTAACCGACGCAGTTCAAGTTCCCTCGAAGGGGAACGTCTCGGGTTAAGTATGTAACCCTGGTTCCCCGAGAAGGGGAACGAGACACTGCGTCGGCCCGCCGCACCTCTCTCCCCGCCTGAAGCGCCTGCTTCATAGTTTAAGCTAATGATGAGTGTGTACAGGTGTGCTTTATACTCCTCCAGTTATTCCGTCACACCTTACCGTTCTAGCAACAAGCCAATAGGATTGGAGTGATTTCATTCACGTTCAGACCTGCTTCGCCTAGAGGCGCTCCCATAGTGTCGTAACCGACGCAGTGTCTCGTTCCCCTTCTCGGGGAACCAGGGTTACATACGTAACCCGAGACGTTTTCAAGAGCTTCTTGAAGTTAGAGAGGGACGCCCCTGCTCTGATGGCGTGTGGTAGCTCCTTCCACCATCGTGGTGTCACAGATGAGAACAGCCGGGACTGGGATTGCTTTGTGTGAAGGGATGGCAGAGCCAGGCGGCGTTCGTTGGAGGAGCGTAGTGGCCGAGAATGAACGTAAGTTTGTATTATGGAGTTTAGGTAGATGGGTGCAGACCCAGTAGTCACTCTGTATGCAGCATTGAATTGAATTTGATTCTGGAGGTCACGGGGAGCCAGTGGAGGTCACTGAGTAATGGAGTGACACGAGTCTTTTTGGGCTGATCAAAAACCAGACGCGCTGCTGCGTTCTGAACCATTTGTAAGGGTTTCACTGCACAAGCTGGAAGACCTGCTAGGAGGGCATTGCAATAGTCGAGGCGAGAGATAACCATGGCCTGTACCAGAAGCTGGGTGGCGTACTGAGTGAGGTAGGGCCTGATTTTCCTTATGTTGTATAGAGCAAAGCAGCATGACAGAGAGACAGCAGCAATATGGTCTGACAAGGACAGCTGGTCATCAGTTTTGACACCCAAGTTTCTCACCACCCTGGTTGGAGTGATGGTTGAGGAGTCAATTTGTAGTTTGATGTTATGGTGGATGGATTGCTTGGCTGGAATGACCAAGAGTTCAGTCTTAGAGAGGTTTAGTTAGCTGTAGTTAGTAGCATGTAAATGGACTAGACATGGTCAGAAATGTCCCAAAATTCCCCCAAAAGTAAACCTCTTAGAGACTTACATGTCAATTCCAGTCATAGTGATAGTGCCAACTTACTGGAATGTGGAAAGGACACGTTTTGAAATGTATTTCTTAAGCCACTTTCATATTTTTACCCCACTTAGCACCTTAGCGGAGGTTGACCACATCCATCTCAAAGTTCTTATCAAATGTTCTTGCCTTGGTGAGTAAATATTCACAAAGAACCTGTTTCTCAAGAGTTATACCCTGAACCCAACCGGAAGTCAGCCACTTTGAATTGACTAACTAACGGACACCTCAACTAAACTTTGTAAGATATTTTCGACACGTCACCTGCGTGATTTTTGCATTGTGAACTTCAGAGCCCTGTCAGCTGGCTTATGATGCAAGAGTCCCAGCTGGGCCCGCTCAATGCTGCTTGCAGCTTTAATTCTGATTATTGTCTTATGACAACTTTATTCAATTCAATTCAATTCAATTTTATTTATATAGCGCCAAATCACAACAACAGTTATCTCACAGCGCTTTTCATAAAAGAGCAGGTCTAGACCGTACTCTATGATGCTATTTACAGAAGCCCAACAGTTCCCACCAAGAGCACACACTAGGCGACAGAGGCAAGGAAAAACTTCCTTTTAAGAGGCAGAAACCTCGAGCAGAACCATGGCTCAGGGTGGGCGGCCATCTGCCTCGACCGGTTGGGGTGAAGGAGAGAGAGAGAGAGAGAGAGAGAGAGAGAGAGAGAGAGCAGGAGAGGAACAGAGAGAAAAAGAGAGGGATGGAAGGAGAGAGAGGGGAGGGAGGCAGCCTACACAATATACACACACTCTTAACCCGAATTAGTTGACTTTACTCGCAAATCGCGTGGAAACCCGTTGCCTTAAACCACTTTAGTTTTTACACAGGATGAAACTAAACATGTTGAGTTGTATTAACATGGAACCCTAACTTTTTACACAGGATGAAACTAAACATGTTGAGTTGTATTAACATGGAACCCTAACTTTTTACACAAGATGAAACTAAACATGTTGAGTTGTATTAACATGGAACCCTAACTTTTTACACAAGATGAAACTAAACATGTTGAGTTGTATTAACATGGAACCCTAACTTTTTACACAAGATGAAACTAAACATGTTGAGTTGTATTAACATGGAACCCTAACTTTTTACACAAGATGAAACTAAACATGTTGAGTTGTATTAACATGGAACCCTAACTTTTTACACAGGATGAAACTAAACATGTTGAGTTGTATTAACATGGAACTTTAAGTTTAGTATTTATATTTATTAGTAGTGTGTTCTCAAAATCATTAGATAAAACTAGCTATTATGACTTGTTATTGCTACTCATCATTTAACACAATTACTGTATTTTCCTCTAAATTAATTAGCTTTTGATTTTTAAAACAAATATTTTATAAAAAAATTTTCAATTAAATTGGATGGATGGAAAAAAAGAAACACCTCTTAATGTTTCCATGCATTTTATTTTATTTTTAAATGGCAAAACACAGCCAAACATCAGGTAAACATCAACAATCAAAACATCAATTATCCAATCTAAAATGATTAATCTTAAAAAGGTCATTTCAAATCATTGAAACAATTGTGTGTGGATGTTGTCTGTGTGTGTGGGTGTTGTCTGTGGGTGTTGTCCGTGTCTGTGTTGCCTTGTGTGTGGGTGTTGCCTGTGTGTGGGTGTTGCCTTGTGTGTGTGGGTGTTGCCTTGTGTGTGTGGGTGTTGCCTTGTGTGTGTGGGTGTTGCCTTGTGGGTGTGGGTGTTGTCCGTGTCTGTGGGTGTTGCCTTGTGTGTGTGGGTGTTGTCCGTGTCTGTGGGTGTTGCCTTGTGTGTGTGGGTGTTGTCCGTGTCTGTGGGTGTTGCCTTGTGTGTGTGGGTGTTGTCCGTGTCTGTGGGTGTTGCCTTGTGTGTGTGTGTTGCCTGTGTCTGTGTTGCCGTGTGTGTTGCCCGTGTGTGGGTGTTGTCCGTGTGTGTTGCCCGTGTGTGGGTGTTGTATGTGTGTGTTGCCCGTGTCTGTGTTGCCGTGTGTGTTGCCCGTGTCTGTGTTGCCTTGTGTGTGGGTGTTGTCCGTGTCTGTGTTGCCTTGTGTGTGTGGGTGTTGTCCGTGTCTGTGTTGCCTTGTGTGTGTGGGTGTTGTCCGTGTGTGTTGCCCGTGTGTGGGTGTTGTCCGTGTGTGTTGCCCGTGTGTGGGTGTTGTATGTGTGTGTTGCCCGTGTCTGTGTTGCCGTGTGTGTTGCCCGTGTCTGTGTTGCCGTGTGTGGGTGTATGTGTCTCTAATTTACAAGATAAAACCATAGATGTCCCCTGAGTGGTAAATCCATAAACAAAATAAAATTTACCAGAAACACCCACTCAAATGTACAAGAAAACGCAAACAAACAGGATCTGTTCTGATCATCTGCCTAAATGAAGGAAGGACAGAGCATGAACCAACAGACTATCATATCAGAACAATCTACATAGACTGGTGAAGAACTAGAACAATAATGTCTTAGGCCTATGTCTTTCTGCTACAACTCCTCTCAGTTTTAATTTTCACACAAGTCACATCCTTCAGCATGATTCCTACAGCAATTAAGGGTGTCAGTGTTGTTTGTGTGTGTTGTGTGTGGGTGTTGTACGTGTGTGTCTGCATTTTACGTGTGTCTGTTCGTCTGCTTGTTTTACAGAAAATAAAAAGGTTTACCCCACAGGTAAGAAAGTATTTTACTAGTGTGGCAAAAAGAAAAATGTAGTCAACCGCCTCTTACAGTAGACTTGACCTCTCTTTTTACATTGCGAGCTGATTTTTCAAACTCTGTAGCTTTGGCTTTAGGTCAGTCTGGCCTAACAATAACAATACCTGTTGGATGAACTGAAATGTGAGCTTCATGGTCTTGCGGTAGTAAAGATGAAGTGCATACATGAGTCCAAATGCACATTGCTTTTGGCAGATCTTGAATGTTCTCCATTACAACTTCTCCCTCAATGACGATTTTCAACGAGGCTGGACTGAGATGCTGGGAAGACGTGAGCACAGCACCTTCACGCTCAATAAGAAGAATCCCAACGTCAAGGTCACGAAAATAATCATCATCATCAGATTCCTAAATAAAGAATAACAGAAGAGCACAATCATTACATTATATTTCTCATTTGAAAAACAACTTTAATCAATATAAGAGTGTCATGGTGAAAAATAAATAATGGTAAAAAATATAAGAAAGCAAGAGCTTACTTACAAAGCTTGCTTTGAAGAAGTTTGTAGGGTTGTCCCCAAGGATGATAGGAAGCCCTCTGAGCACTTGTGTCCGGATCGTAGTTGGCTCTGTAGTCTTTTGAGAATTAAACACAGTACAACAAGTTAGCTAGCTAAAATAAAAAACAAATAATGATCTATAAGAAAGCTTAAAAAAAACAAGCAATGTTTTGATTGAATTATACAACTAATAGAGTAGCATTGTGATATGATGTTTATACAAAACCTGAGATAAACAACGCCAAGTACAGAATGTGTATGGACTTGCATTGGTCTGTTGTGAAATCTGTGTCAACAACTGTCCAACATTCCCTCTCTTGGATTGAAATAACTCCAGGAGACGAGGACTGTGCCGGTTGATGCTCTCATAGAACTCCTGTTTGAGGTTCTTGCCCACAATCCTGCTGAACTCCATGAACACCTGAAAAATACAGAGAACAAAAAAACTGAACTTAGATCAACTGAACTATACAAGGCAGCTAAGCCATCTGCAAAGTAGTGCTGAAAAACATCATGAATGTCCTTTTTATATGATTTGCAATGTTGATGAAAAACATCATGCCCCAAATTAAAAATACCAATGTTTTCCTTAAAGAGGACAAGAGAAATATACATCTAGACACAATATATAATAATAGAAAGATAGTTATTTGTTATGTTCTTTCTTAAACATACTTGATCTTCAGTGAAAAGGGCAGGCCAGCGTTTCACCATCGTGCTTATAGCGGGTTCCGACTCCACTACCTCTTTTCTTCTCAGAGAAAAAGTCTGATCCATCTTCTGTTTCACAAGAGGTCCATTTGGTGTTCTCTTCTGCATTTCATTAACCAAGTCTTTACAGGCCCCCTCCAGTGCTGCCTGATCAAATCCATCCGGAAAGTTGGGCAAGTAGTTGATTTCACCTTTGTTTGCCTTCTTGATGCGCTTGTTAGCTGGTTGTCCTGCTGAATGCCTTCCCCGCTTACCTGCATTTACTGAAACATCAAGGCATCCTGATTGCCTACGCTTATTTCGATAATTACCCATTTTATGCTTAAGGCTATTTTTCCAACCACAACAGCGAGTGGTTGAGCCTCGCTCCTGGAGACAAGGGTGCTTGTTTATCAGTGCTGCTGCAACACTTTCGAACTGAGCAGCAGTTGGGTATGCTGTGTAGCTATACATGCTCTCTGCCAATCTTTCAAGTATCTCGTGTTTTAGTTCTTTTGATACTTTAAAGGTATGTACCCTCACTCATAAACAGCAGATCTGCTTGCCTAAGTCTATACTCTACATCCACAGACATGGTAGGGATATCAAAAAATTCTGGCCACTGTTTATGTCGCTCCTGAGATGAGTGTGAGAGTATGTCTGTATCTGCTGTACTGGGTGTGTCACTGAAGACTTCATCAGATGAGACAGGTACCAGCTCAAGGACAGGCATGACTTTAATTGTTGGTTTTTCTGGAAGTTCTTCAGTAGCTGTCAGATTGCATAGTTCATTATTGAATTCAGGGTCTTGGTATTGGAGACTAAAGTTATAATGAAGTCCCAGTGATTCTTTAAGCTTGCTTATCAAATCTTCAACTGTAGAGGGCCTTGTGGTTAGGATGACTTTTCTTATATCCGCCTCTGTTAGAATGACCCTCAAGGTCATCTTCTGGTTTGCAGTCATCTTGGGAATAGAAACAATAATTAGGTCATTAGAAATATAAATATCCAAAAGGCCATTCAATTGCTGAGCATAGAAAATAGTGACTGTCCCTTTAGATTAAAGTGGTAAATCCATAAAAAAAACAACGTATAATTCACAAGAAATCCCCACTTAAATGTGTAAGAAAAACATTTACAAAAAAAGTCACAAATTTAGGGAAAAATAAAAACTTCTCAGAGACTGTATCATTATACATTTCAACATGAGCTCTAAAATAAGCTACAAAATGTTCCATTACAGCCTAGATTTATTGCAGAGATCACACTGTGGCTTCTTAACAGAGAATATAACGCCTGAGGGTCACTACCAAATTATCGCCATATCTGTACGCTGAAAGAGGGAAAACATCATTCAGCTCTTTCAGCTGCACCACACACAGAGAGGGGTTACTGCTGTCACAGATGAGTTCGAAAGATCTCAAATGCTCATGGTACCATGCAGTCATCTCATTGCAAACAAACAGGATCTCAGTGTTAAGTGCCACTATCTGTTTGATCTGTCTAAATGAAGGGAGGCCAGCACATGAACCAACAGAGACTATCATGTCAGCACAATATCTAATTCCATCTACATAGACTGATGATGCAACAAGAACTGATGTAAGCTGAGGAACTCTCTGGCAGAAAACCTGTTGGACATTCTCAGGATAAAATGTGATCGATGCTGTAGTGACCTTGTCCATTTCAATTGAAGGCTTGAAAAATGAACTTGTGTCCAAATAGTAAGCCATCATTTTCTGATGCTTAACAGCCAATGTAAGAGCTACATTTTTGAAGTTGTGGGCATTACGAATGACCCGTTTGAAGAATTTGTGTTTTCCCTCAAACCGCATTGTCCAAACATCTGAAAGGGGACCAAATGCTTTGATCATCTCAGGGTAATGCTCAATATAGTGGTGTTTTGGCCGTAATCTAAAATTTGGAAAAGTTGTTTGCAACAAGTCTCTATGTTCTGACACTTTGCAGTCAAGGAAATGCACCGACTCTTCAGTGTGCTTTGTTGCGACAGCCAACTCAACAATGTCTTTTAGGAGCAGCAGAATGTTCCATGCATTGTCTCCTTCAGGGACTTTATGACCAATGATAAGTGGGAGCAGCCTGATTAGGGCCCAGTTCTCATGGCCATTGCCACCTATGGTCCCTTTGGTAGAGAAGCCATGAGCAATTGGCTGAGGCTGGTCAGTTTTGTCATGAAAAGCATATTCAAAGGTTTTCATGGCATGGTTCAGTGTTTCTATGGTGAAATATTTCTTAGAAATCATGTCTGAAATGCAGAGGGATAACTCAATAGGAACAATGCCTTCCAAAAGGTCATGGAGGATGTCAGGGGGGTACCCACGGACAACATGAAAGTGCTCCAGGCCGTCAGTCAATACACACCCTCCTTTCACACCATACTCTTTTGCCACAGTGGGATCATGCTTTACCTCCTGCACCTGCTGGTTGTGAGTGTCTATAGTGCGGTGTTCAAAAGCACCTGAATTTACCTCCTTGCCTTGCATCTCGCCTCTCGTCGCCATACAGAACCTGCAGAATCTGTCCACCATAAAGCTTTCGAAGAATCCTGCCAGAGAATGAGCAGCCAGGTTATCAGCAGCCACATATAAAACTGTACCTTTGACAGATTCTCCCAACTTCTCAACATATACACCATGTTGCTCCAAAGAAGCCAGATCATGAATGAGAGGGCGGAGAATTTTAGCGTAGCCAAATTCTTTTACATGAGAGGATTTACACAAAACAGCAAGCTGAATGGAGTGGAGTGTGGATCTGTATTTTGGTGGCACATTAGCTATCACCCAATAAACTGCACTCATTTTGTGTTTCTTTCTCGATGTTCCTAAAGGATTGGACACTTCAAAATCATCTGTATAAAGTCCAACAGCGATTTTGAATTCATCCCCTTTAAGGAGGACATTGTCATTACAGTACGAGCCATCTCTGTATGAACTGTACTCATGTTGCACATGCTTTTGGACGGGAAGAGCTTTGTCCAAAATATCTGCCCTATTCAACATCTTCTGTAGCATTGGATGCAAAGGAACATATACAGCGCTAGATTTTTTTCCTCTTTCAATAATGTACTCCACTGGTTTAACCTCTGTGAAGTTTTTATTCACATATGCTGCTCTCCTTTTTGTTGTTGATAAGGGGCCATCCTTGCCACAGAATTTCATGATCACATTGCCCTTTGCGGCAGCCCTTACTAACTCTTCCACAACTGAATCATCTACATCTGTCTGTTGTTTCAGAATGTCCTTGAGTGCATTATGCAGCAGTGGCTGGGATAGTTCACACATCTGTAACAGCTGTTCTATGACTTCTTGTACTGTACTTTCTGGAATGTGTAGGACTGTTTGCATCTTTAAAAAAAGAGCTGCTAGGTTGTGCTCCAGCTGTTTCTCTAGATCATTAAGATCTTCATTGGTAGAATCCTCACTGTCTTCTGATTCAAGGGTGTCATTTGGAGGCTCATGTTCTTCTTGGGCCATTTCATTAGTTACACTACTAGAGACTATTTCTGGCCTAAACATCCTCCAGTTGTGTGTTCTGTGCTCCTTACTTCTGTGTGCATTAAATGTAGAATACACATTTGTGTGAAAGTTACAGCCATTATATGGGCACTGGACTCTGTGATTTACCTTTAAATGTGTACTGCGCAGATGAGTGAGAAAGACTGCTTCTGTGCATGGTGCAGAAAAATCACATGACTGACAGTGAAAGGTTACTTGGGCAGTTTCACTCAGTTGTGCACCCTGGGTTTTCTGGTGAATCTTTGCTAAGTGGACCTTAAGTGCATTAATGGAGTTGAATGTGCACACACATTGTTGGTGTAAGCAGGGAAATGGGACAGTTCTACCAAAGTTTCCGTGTTTTAAACGATAATGTTTTAAAAGGTAACCCCTTTTCTCACACATAAACTCACAGTACTTACACTTCCACAGCATCCTAACACCACAAGGATCTGTAACAATAGAAAACAGGAAAACGTTTAGCTCAACGACTCAGTTCAACAATGTCACTGTTAAATACTATAAGGTAATAGAACCGAAACGACGCCTGTTTTACAGAGAAAACCGGCATGTGTCAGCTTCGTGGTGTTTTGTCTTTGCACACCAGAAACGTGTCTGACGCGGCGCTGCTGCTGCTAGCCTTGTCTGTAACTTTACATAGGGATGTTTCCCATAGATTTACTGCACTCAAGCAGTAGTACACTTCATGTTAAACATAAACATATACTGATTTGATTACAGCAAAGACAACGTCGGCAGTATTGACGGCAAAAAAGGCTACAAAATATTCCGTTCTGTATTCACAGGTGCAATATTTGAAAATCGATAATTATTCATTACCATTTACACCACCACAGCGAGAGCTAATTTACACTCCTTTGCAGTCGAGCAAACTCGCCGGTATGTGAGCAATCCTTAGACTGTTAACACTAAGCTAACTTTAACATTCAGATGACACTTTTTTGAGTAACTTAGCTAGCTAGTGTTACCAATAAGCATGTATTAACACCATGCACAGGTTCAAACAGTAACATTAGACGGGAAAAAAAGTTGCGTCAACAAATTATCTGCAAGCTTTTGGGTATTAAAAATTCCCACAAAGATAACTAGGCTACAATAGTTATTTTAAATACGAACCATTCCACTTGCAGTAATGTTGCTTCCTAGTCAGGGTACCGTCTGCTGCCGAGGCCTGTGCTCGTCCCGCCAGGTGTAGAGCCTCTTGGACGCACGTTAGACGCAGGTCTTTTCACGTGACCAGGCAGGTTTTTGAATTAGCCACTCCCCTTCCTTATGAAACTAAACATACCAAGTTATCTCTACTAAACATGATTAGTGCAATTAATCTTTCAGCTAAATAGTACAAACAACTAATGTTGTTTAGTAATGATAGCAGGTTTTGACAAAACATAAAAGAATAAGTAATGATCACTCGTAAGTTTAATTAGAAACAAAATCTGGGTTTACAGTGCAGAGGTACAGACAGTAAAGGTGATGTTGCTATAGACTAAATGAAAAATGGTACAGATATTTATAGTAGTGTTAACGGTAACAGGCGTAATGTTAATGATTATAATAACAATAATAACAATAAGACTAGCAAAAATAGTCGTTGCAGCAGAGGGTGTCGAGCAGGAACACGGGGCCAGCAGGTGACCCACAGCCACAGATCCAGAGCCAGAAACACCTGCAGGAAGTAATAGGAGGAGAGAGGAGAGGGACGAGAAAGCACAAGACTACCAGAAAGGGGAGAAGTTGTGTTAGTAACATGCAATAATGGGATGAGGTTGCATACAGAGGGAGAGAAAGTAGAGGAGAGAGGAGCTCAGTGCATCATAGGAAATCCCCCGGCAGTCTAGGCCTATAGCAGCATAACTAAGGGATGGTTCAGGACTCACCTGAGCCAGCCCTAACTGTAAACTTTATCAAAGAGGAAAGTCTTAAGCCTACTCTTAAATGTGGAGATGGTGTCTGCCTCCTGAACCCAAACTAGAACCTGGTTCCACAGGAGAAGAGCTTGATAGCTGAACGCTCTGGCTCCAAGTCTACTTTAGGAACCACAAGTAACCCTGCATTCCGGGAGCGCAGTGCTCTGGTGGGGTAGTAAGGTACTATGAGCTCTTTAAGATAAGATGGTGCCTGACCATTAAGAGCTTTGTAGGTAAGAAGAATGATTTTAAATTCTATTCTGGATTTTACTGGAAGCCAATGCAAAGAAGCTAAAACAGGAGAAATGTGATCTCTTTTCCTGGTTCCTGTCAGAACACGTGCTGCAGCATTCTGGATCAGCTGAAGAGTCTTAACAGACTTTTTCGAGCTCTAAATCCTGACTGAAAATCCTCAAATAAACTATTGCTCTGTAGAAAGTCACACAGCTGTTTAGCAACTGCTTTCTCCAGAACCTTAGAGAGAAATGGAAGGTTAGATATAGGTCTATAGTTGGCTAAAACATCCGGATCAAGTTTGGGCTTTTTCAGAAAAGGTTTAATTACAGCTACTTGAAAGTACTGTGGTACATAGCCTGTTGATAAAGATAGATTGATCATATCTAGTATAGAGGTGCTGACTAAGAGTAAAACATCTTTAAGCAACCTACTCGGGATGGGGTCTAAGAGGCAGGTTGACGGTTTAGATGAGCAAATTATTGAAGTTAGTTGGTAAAGATTGAGTGAAGCAAAACAGTCTAAACATGTATCTGGTTCTACAGCTGTTTCTAAGGTTCCTGAGTTAAGAGATAAGTCGGTGCCAGTTGAGGGCAGGTCTTGGTGAATTTTGTCTCTAATAGCTAGAATTTTATCATTAAAGACGCTCATGAAGTCGTAACTACTGAGAGCTATGGGAATACTTGGCTCAATAGAGCTGTGACTCTCTGTCAGCCTGGCTACAGTGCTGAAAAGAAACTTGGGGTTGTTCCTATTTTCCTCTATTAATGACGAGTAGTATGCTGCTCTAGCATTACGGAGGGCCTTCCTATAAGTTTTAAGACTATCTTGCCAAATTAAACGAGAATTTTCCACTTTGGTGGAACGCCAATTCCTCCATATTTGCTTTAATTTGCGAGTTTCAGTATTATACCATGGAGCTAACCGTCTTTGTTTTAGTATTTTCTTTTTTAGAGGGGCTACAGAGTCCACTGTCATTCGCAGCGAGCCTGCAGCACTATCAACAAGAGTCCTCCGTTACTTTGTGACTAGATAATGTATTTAGAGCTGATGGAATCGCATCCTTAAATTTAGCTACAGCACTATCAGACAGACATCTTGTATAGAAATTTTTGCCCAATGGCGTGTAGTTCAGCAATACAAACTCAAAAGTTATCAAACAGTGGTCGGATAAAGAGGGATTCTGTGGGAACACCACTAAATGTTCAATTTCAATACCATACACCAAAACAAGGTCGAGGGTGTGGTTAAAACAGTGAGTCGGTTCATGAACACTCTGAGAGAAGCCAATGGAATCTAACAGAGAGATAAACGCAGTACTAAAGCTGTCATTCTCAACGTCCACATGAATATTAAAATCCCCTACAATAATAACTTTGTCCGTTTTAAGGACTAAAGTTGACAAAAACTCTGCAAATTCAGATAAGAATTCAGAATACGGGCCAGGTGCTCAGTACACTATAACGAAGAGAATTGGTTGCAGTGATTTCCAACTTGGGTGCGAAAGACCAAGAACAAGACTTTCAAATGAGTTATAGTTTGGTTTAGGTTTAGAGCTGATTAGTAGGCTAGAGTCGAAGATAGCTGCAACTCCACCTCCTCGGCCTGTGCCTCGAGGAATGTGAGTATTAATATGACTGGGAGGGGTGGATTCATTTAGGCTAACATATTCTCCATCACCCAGCCAGGTTTCAGTAAGATCAAATAAATCAATATCATAATCTGATATTAGTTCATTTACTAGTACAGCTTTAGAAGAGAGAGATCTGATGTTTAAGAGTCCACATTTAACTCTCCTATTCGTTTGCACTATTGCTCTTGTGGTTTTAATTTTTATGAGGTTTCTATGCACAGCTCCTCTTCTGTTTACCTTTTTAAATAATTTCAATGGTCAGGGGACAGACACCATCACTATAGGATTTTCACTAAGTAACTCCTGAAATGGAGGAGCAGAGAAGTGTGTTAGACTGCGACTCTGCGTAGGGTTTTGGGTGGGTAACTGCTGAAAAAGAAGGGCAGAGAAGTGTGTTAGACTGCGACTCTGCCTCCTGGTCTCAACTCTGGGTTGTCATGGATTTGGTCCACTAATAAACTTGGCCAGATTTCTAGAAATGAGAGCTGCTCCTTCCCAAGTGGGATGGATGCCGTCTCTCCGGATCAGACCAGGTCTTCCCCAGAAAGTCTGCCAATGATCAACAAAGCCCACATCGTTTGCTGGACACCACCTCGACAACCAGCGGCGGAATGACGACATGCGGCTATACATGTCATCACTGGTCAGATTTGGCAGGGGTCCAGAGAAAACTACGGTGTCCGACATTGTTTTTGCATATGTACACACCGACTCAACAATAATCTTAGTGACCTCCGATTGGCGTAACCGGGAGTCATTACCGCCGACGTGAATAACAATCTTACTGTATTTACGTTTATCCTTAGCCAGCAGTTTTAAATAAGACTCAATGTCGCCCGCTCAGGCCCCAGGGATGCACTTAACTATGGCCGCTGGCTTCGCTAACTTCGCGTTTCTCAAAATGGAGCTGCCAATGATCAGAGTTGGTTTCTCAGCGGGTGTGTCGCTGAGTGGGGAAAATCTGTTAGAAACGTGAACAGGTTGATGGTGCCCCGTGGACTTTGAATGCTTACGACTATTCCTCCTTCGGACAGTCAGTTTGGTTGTTGTTCTGGGCACTGCTCAACTCTGAAGCTAATAAAAACTGCGAAATTGTATTTCCTGTGTTTTGGCCAAGCTTGGGAATGGGAAGCCACACCTTTATGTTGTCTCCAGTTTACCACTAGACCTTAGGACGTAACAACATACATATTTATACTTAATGCTACATAAAATTTTATAACGTAATCAGATGGCGCCAGTGTGTAAGGCAAGCCGTCTGTCAGCATCACGCTGCATCTGCCTTTTGTTTGCTGCTGCTTTACTTCTGTTTTTGCTGCCGGGATGGAAACTAGCCTTCTCGTTTATGATTGCCAAACTTTGTTTGACATCCGAGCGTCCTGTGAGGCTTTGGGGCTGTCTAGAGATGGTTTGGGAGAACAGGCTGGAGGCTTCCCCCCATGGTTGTCCAACATCCCAGACTACCTGTGCTGTGTCCTGTGTGATCTTCCACGGAAAAAGCACCACAGGAGACGTGGAAAGCGTGCCGGAGTGCTGGTTCACATCAAGGCTTACTTGAGGTCCTCGGATGTGCCTCATCCTCGTCTCCTCTGCGGTGGGGGCTGCTGTCACCCCGCTGTCTGTGGCTGCCGGTATTCGGAGGTCTCGCGCCTGCAATGGATTCGACCTGTCTTCCCCAGCCCAACTCCTGTTGTGTCATTGCCTGCTGTGGGCTTCCTTCTTGCCGACTTGGCTTCACAGCATCTCTCGATGGGCTGCCTTGGTGACAGCATCTGGTTCGGGCGCCGTTCCACTTTCCTCCCGGCCTGACACACGGTGCCCTGGGGGCCGACACCGGGCTGGGAAACCCGGCGTTGGTGAGGAAACTTCTCACTGTTGACGTGGTGTGAATATGGCTAATCTACGCACACTGCAGCGGGTGTCAAAACCAGACAGTTTGGATTTAACTCTTCGTTTAGCCGTGATTAATGTCAGATCACTGGCCACCAAAACTTTTGTTGCTGAATGACTTTTTTACATACCATAAATTGGACTTTATGCTGCTGACCGAGACTTGGCTTCATGTTGGTGAGTCTGCTTCCTTTTCTGAGCTTCTCCCTCCAAACTGTACATTTTTTAGCTCTCCTCGGACCACTGGCAAAGGTGGAGGACTTGCCATTGTGTTTAAATCCACCTTCCAGTGTCGGCTGTCGTCATCTGTCACCTATTCTAGCTTTGAGCTGAAGCTATTTGAATTAAACGCCTCTTCTCCGACGCTATGTCCACCGAAATTCCACAAAGATTTTATGCAAGAGTTTGCTGATTTTATAGCAGGTATCAGGTTAAACTACGACCATTTTATAATTTATAAACACGTATGCTGTGAAAGCAAACCTATGGTTAAAGACTTCTTAAATCTTCTTAACTCTTTTAATCTCACTCAATCATTGTCTGGCCCAACACATGAAAAGGGACAC